AGCATTTTCCCATGTAAACCAGATTTGAATAAGCGCATATATAACTTAGAACGGTCAATTGAATCAAAGGCTTTTCTAAAATCAATAAAAGCAACATATGACTTTTTCCTTTTCTTAATTAGACATTTTTCTATAACACCATGCAAAGTAAAAATATGATCAATCGTAGAGTACCCTTGTCTAAAGCCTGCTTGTGTTTCGGGAACTTTACTCATACATTTGCCTAGTTCGTGATACGGACATTTAAAATAGATGTATATAATTTATTTAATATACACAATAAAGAAATCCCCCTGTAATTATCTGGGTTTTTGCGATCACCCTTTTTATGTAAAGGAATAACTATTGCTTTCGTCCAAGCCATGGGAAAAACACATGTGTTAAAAATACTATTTAGCAATATCTTTAAAAAAGGCATAATAATATGTATATAATATGTATAGATGATTTCACCAGGTCAACAATTACACCATCTCTACCAGCTGACTTGCCATTTTTCAGATGAAAAAGACATGAACTTATTTCCTCATCAGTGATAGCAGACTCAAGAATACAGCGATCAATGTCATTAAAGGAATATTTACATCAGGACTGAAAACATCATTCTCAATGGTATCATCAGCTTGATTTTGGGGTGTGAACAACCTTTTAAAATGATTATACAATAAAGATTTATGTAATGGACAACGGGAGCTCTTTGTATTATTCAGACTTCTCAACTCTTTCCAAAAAGCAGAAGAGTTATGGATAGAAGATTTTATCATGTATCTGGTTGTTATTAGTTTCTACTATTTCGCATGTGTTTACCTTGAAGGAGTGGCAATTCATCATCACTGACATGCATTTTACGAATATCCGACCATATGGTTTTACGTTAAAATCAGACACGTACTAACATGGTGTATTTGGTGGTTCATGATATCGTTTAATCAGGGTAGAGTTCGTGTCGAGTGCCAAAGCATGTTGCTCCTATTTACTCAAAATGTGAATATATGTGACCTGCCACTATATTTCAAGATTAGTCCCAGTGGAGGTACGTTTCTGTTTCCTTCACTTTTACCTTCCACGCAAGGGAATTTAATTACGGTCACATGTTTTAAACTTCGAGAAATTACAGTTCAAAATCAACGTGCTGTTAAGCCTTTTTACTCTATTAACTATTGGTGATACTTATATCATATAATACTCTGGCCATAACTGTTGTCACACATGTCTATTAATTAGGTACCAACTATTTGTATAAACATATGTTATGGACTTATGACTGAACACACATTTGTCAGGCCTTAGACAGTACATTATGTGCAATGAAACAGTATTTATGTACTGTTCGTACAGGTAGCAGTAGTAGTAGTAGTAGACTAAGGCTTAGTCTCTGAATATATATAATTTTGATAGTAACAAACAAGCCCATTTATATTGAAAAGGAGCCCTAGGGAGACCAGAGATTCAGAGACTAAGAACATCTGCATTGGGGCTACACGTGCTGGGGTCATTACCAATTAGAAGTCGCATCATACAACCATCAGATAACGCTATAAGTGAATGGCATATTTATTGGCCCTCCTGTTAAGCCCTGTCCTATCTCCATGCTGTCATCACCTCATGTGGGCCAGTCAAGTGCCCCTACTGCCTAACATTTTACTGTTGGGAAACTTGCAGCCCACAATGTCACTTGGACACTAGATGACCAAGGTGCAAGATCTGTGTGGAACACCAACAAAATTATTTATGAATTTGAACTTATCTCCAAATTCAAAAGTTTCCATTTGTATAATATGCGAAGAGAATATAGATAACCATCTTTTTTTAAACAAACTGTTCAATGGAAGTGGAAAGGCCAGCATCTGTCTTACGCTTGAAGATGTTCTTGGTATTTATAGATACAAGATCATCTTCACTAGATTTCACCTTGCATGCCTCAATCACATCACGAAGGTAAACAGATTTAATTCCGAGATGCTGTGCCTTTAGAATTTGGTTCTTCATGAGAAGGCGACTAACGGGGTCGGGTGGTCAGGCTTGCTGACTTGGTTGACACATGTCATCGTATCCCAATTGCGTAGATGTTCATGCTGTTGACCACTGGATTGTCAGGTCCAGACTCGACTTATTTACAGGCCGCCGCCATATATGGAATATTACTGAATGTTGTGTAAACCCAAACTCACTCACTCACTCTTCATGAGTGCTAGGTCCCTGCCATATGTTTTACTGTTGAGCAATTAGATAAAAAGAGATACTCAAAACACACCAGAATTTCACACGGTAAGAGTTCCTCCCGTTCCCCCATCCCAAATAATATGTATAAATATTCTAGAATTATAAACGAAACTTAACGCAACAATTACTAGAGAACACACAAAATGATTAAAAGTCCAAAATTTAAGTTAGGGCTAGGGTTAGGTTTAGAGTTGGGGAACGGAAGGAACTCTTTCCTTTAACACAATAATCTTATATCAGGAATAAAAAAATTAACCCTTGTTTTAATTACAATTAAATCCTTAACCGCATTTACAAATGGGCCGCTATGTGTGGACCCAAGTCAGACAATGAAACAATACTTTTTACAACATTACATTCAGGAGGAACCTTTCCCCAAGATTTTGGTGGATTTGTCTCTTAAGACCAGAAACTGTGCACAAGGCCTCCACTATAGCTTCATGTCACCCAATGTGCTTGTTAATTAAGAGTTGACAGATGAGGCAAGATTCCAGGCCACTGGTTAGGATGTTGGTCCGGCCAGCCATGGTAGTTAGATATGTTTACTTTGTAATCCGACCCCCAAAGTGAGTTAGTTTTCTTGCAGATGTTAACAGACCCTGAACCTGAGGAAATTTAGACTTGCTTTATTTGGGGCTTTAGCACAGCAGAGAGGGCTTGGCAGTGGGGAAATTAATGTGGTTCAGTGACTGTGAGACAGACTATAGTAGTAGTAGTAGTAGTAGTAGAAGTAGCAGTAGTAGTAGTGGTAGTGGTAGTACCAGCAGCAGCAGAGCAGCAGGGAGATCAGCGTTTGGTCACCACACAAATAACCATCCTTTGAATTTTCTAACCTCTTAAAGCTGACCCTGTTTACTATACGATTTATGTTTTGTATGATAACTTGTGGGAGATATTTTCGAAGGTTCCGCTTTTGGCACAGACTACTGCTCTGATTTCCTTGTTTTTATTAGTTGTTGAATCTGCAGGCATAAAACCAATTGTCCATAGATCGTTGTCTCTAAGGTATGTAAAGCTACTAAAAATACATACATAAAATACACTTTTCAGAGACTTTAGCCAAACATCTTGCAAGAGCAACAGGTCTGTAATTTTTATGAATAGATAACAAAGGCAATTTTCTAAGTGGAAGCAAAAAAACGAAATTATCAATAACATATTTAACACTTTGACAATGGCGGATATGCTAACGTGGTTTTCAAGTGACTTTTGGTATATGATTGAAAAATCGTGCAATTTTAATATCTAACAATGAACTTATTGACAAATCAGGGCGATCTGTTCGAAGGGTTGTCAGAACATTATCAGGCAGAGGGTATAAACAAACATAAAGATTATATCAAGTCGTCCTGACACAGTGATCGCTTGCTTGGTGTGTGGTAAAACTTTGTGAGATTATTATCTGGCTATGCACGCACCCATAAGCCCAAACATGTCCTCTCACAATCAACATACACTGTATACAATGATAAAACACACAAAAACTTACAACTATATGAATTGCCATTTTAGACCCATGTAAGTCTTATATCTGGGTGGTCCATGCAGGTAACATAGGCACTGTAAATCCCCATTGTCCCCACTATAGCGATCTACAGTTGCTGGTTCTCTAATACCTGTTTTTTATATAGTGTTGTCTTGAATTATAGTATAAGTCTTAAGTTACATGCTAGTTTTATATTTCCATCTGTGATGCACTAATTTTTTAATTTCTAATTTTATTGATCTTTACGATAGATATTAACTCACTCACTCTCTCCCCTTATATCTGTGTACAATCTACGACGAATCTTTTCTTCTGGTGCTGACATATCGAATCATAATTACTGCGTAATACACCTCTTGTGATCCTAATACACTGTAGATCTGGACTTGACAACATTATACACGATGCATTGCAAACCATTGGGGAGCATAATCCTTTTTCAGACTATTGCTTAAACATCGTACAAGTATAAGCTAGTTGATCTATAGCCCGTTTGTGTATTGTATTGTTCTGATAGAAGCATAATTTTACAGATAAATGCTAGTTTTAAATTCTGTTTCTGTGATATACTAGTGTTTTTTTACTGTCCTTGGGTTGTTTAGGGGTGGATTGTGGGCACAAACCATCCGAAACCGGCTGCGAGCTGCTCACTTTAGTGTTTGACGACCAAATCTCAGAACCATTTTGACGCCATTACATCGACGTCAGCGTTTGCTGTGGGCACGACGACACCTCCGATGGACTCGGAGAGAATGGAATCGAGTTGTCTTCAGTGATGAATGAAGATTTACCCTCAGATTCGCTGATGGTAGGATGAGAGTTTGGAGGCGACGCCGTGAACATCATGCTCATAGTTGTGTATAGGAAGTTGACATATTTGGGGGCGGAAGTGACATGGTTTGGGGTGCTTTCTGTGGGATTGCCCGTCCCCGACTTCTGGTTATCCGTAGGAACCTTAATGCTGCAGTTTACCGCGACCAGGTTCTTGCCCCCCGAATTTATTCCATTCATGGCAGCACATGGTCAAGGTCTGCACTTTCAACAGACCCCATACAGCTAATCTGACCAGGATTTACCTGACCGTCAAGGGCACCTGATCTCAATCCAATCGAGGACATCGGGGATGCTCTTTGTAGAAGTCTGCTCACTCTCAGGAACCGACTCCAGAATTTCCAGGATCTTGGTTCTGCTTTACACAATAATGTGTTTACACGCACCAGACAGTCAATGAGGAGGCGTTGCTTGGCAGTTGTGAACGCAAGAGGTGGCACATTCGACACATCAGATTACGTTTCTTGTGACTTGACACTTTGTTTACGCCTTTTATTGATAATTTCTGTAACCACATGGAGCCTATTTTGGGCACTGTGTTTTTTCTCCGTTGATCCTATCTACCTTAACAAATAAATGATAACTTCTATACCACACTCTTGTGTCCTTTCTTTTATATATCATTTAATGTATGATTGTGAAGTTTCTAGTTTGACTCAGTATGTATGGTGAAAATCCAAATGGAGCCGTTTAGGTTGTTGTATACTTGACATGAGTTGGACTCCTTTTTCAATTTATTCTTCAGTTCTGGAAGTCAGGCTTGAACTATTCTTGCGTGCAAAATTTTGACCGTTCTGCCATGTCTCCCTGCACAAGTAACCAAGGTAAAACCATGGATCATACCGGCTTTTCGTTTGGGAAAATAACTGGATTTGTACTCGAGGCTTGAAATCAGACAGTGGGAGATACATTGAGTATATGACCTGCTGGTCGGTGTTCATTAAACGTCGTTTCAGCAACATCTTGACTGTATTCATGTAGTCTTCAGTATAATTGTGCAACACTTCAGGCGTTCCAAGAAACATGGCACCACCTACCCATACCTGGTTTCCTTTGATTACGCTTTCTGTTGTTGCTTTATCATTAAAATTAGACACACGGCTATAGGCGACTTTCCTTTTGTCCCATTCGTTTGGTACTTGAAGCTTGAACATCGAGGTATCGTCAACAAGACCACGAAAGAGTCCAATATCCAACCAACAAAAATATTTGGTAGGAAACAGTTCTTCCATTAAGACTTTGTTAACTAGCTCAAACTTTGCATGCATCGCGCATGAGTAGTTCTCATTTACTGTGTTTGGATGATGACGTGGATAGTTAGGCTGAATGTAAATATTTCGAATTTCCTGCGCCAAAGAGAAGGACCACAGATTGGCCCTATCTATAAGGAATACCTTTGTAATGTTGCTAGGGAACCTACGTCTGAGGCCCGTGAGTAAATCAAAGACATCTCTGGAATCCGTATAAGCCACAAGGTTGTTCCTGATTCGGCCAAACACCTTCATCCAGTTCATATAACGGCTAGGTGTGTACATGTTAGACTTGCTTCCTTTGGCGAAGGAGCCAATGTTAAAGTATGCTGTAATGACGGTGATTTCTGGTTGCAGAAGGGATGGGTCTTCAATACTTTGTGACAGAATCTGAAAGAAGGTAACTTGTTATAGAATTTGGTGACACATTTTTCACTCATGACGATCAAGGTTAGAATCAATCGCATGAAGTATATTTTCAGTTTAATTCACATAAAGACCTTCTTCAGTCTTATATCTGTGCTTATAAAAGACAATGTACAGGTAGGTGAAGCTGTAAGAGGTTGAAGATTTCATTTATTACAGCATGTTTATATGGACCTGAAACATGTCAATTGACTAGCATGTCAAATAGGAATGTACAATTACTTTGCAGTGCGTCGCATTCCAGCTCCTGAGCGATAATTTGACAATATTTGGGATCACATGACTGACCTCACCCTGTAAAGGTATCTGTAAGTCCATGTGTGTATTCACTATTAGTTTCACACAAAATATTATTTGTTTTTGTTCTTGGTGAAACAGATTGAGTTAATTGCATCATCATTTCGTTTGATTTGGCAAGTATATTGTTCAAACAAGATGAACATGTGCTGCATGTGTTTGATCATGTGTACACTTTGATCAACTTCTTTAGAAGAATGCATTTACGTTTTTCATGTGTGATGATAGCAATGGTCCTGGAATATAACATATGTTATATTTGGGATAACACTTTCTCACGAATGGCATTGAGTATTCATAGTCCTAAAATATTTTTGATACATTTGGTATTTTTTCATATTTTGTAAAGCATCGAACTATTCATTTTGAACGAAATTATGTAATGTTACAAAATATAAATGCAAAGAACAACAACTTTTCTTCACTCGTTATTGTTTGTCTACAGACAATGTCAACCCAAAGTCTGCATGCCGTTATCAATAATATGTGTGACGAAGACATAAAATAGTATTGTCCATAATGATATATCATGAGCTGATTTGATACAAATCGATTCAAACAAAGGTTATTAAAATAAACTTTCCAGTAAATAGCTAAAATTGTACCACAGCCAAAATAATATATTGCAACTGATCAGGATCCCTGCAAGGTGCTTTCTGATCGTCAAAAATAACATCCCATTCTGTCGCCAGAACTGTACGTTAATTTTTCTCTCTCATGGTCTGGCTTTCAGACTTAAACTCATGGGGTACATAAATCTTGAGTATTTGTTTAAGCCTTAACATATTAACAATGTTAACGAACTAGATGTGAAATGTGAGCATGAAGTCGGTGTATTATTACCTTAAGTCATTACAGGATATAGGTGAACCAGCTCACCTTATTAGTGTCCTTGTCTTTGATGAAGGTCACTTGCATCCCGGATGGGAGAATTTGTTGGTGTGAAATACTATTGGTCTGAAACATTACAAAACAGTGTCAGATTGTTCATACGATATAGGCGACACGTAAGGGCAAATTAACAAGGAGAACGTTTCAGTGCGTTCTGTGACTTTGCAAATGGTCTGCCATCGATCGTGAATGCAATGTTGTTTCACGGGCACGGAAATTCGGAGTCCCTTGAGATCAGTTAGATTATATGTGGGAAAATGTTCGCGAAATGAAACTATGCCTTTTCTCATAGAATGTATTGATTACCTTTTAAACAGCGGCACTTTTCCGGCTATCATTATCCCACTACAGGAAAAGGGGCCAAAAGTATTCTATGCTGACGGAAATCTGTGAACGTTGAAAGACCGGTGCAACAAACTATTTTGATTGTCCTATAGGTTTGCGACAATGTTGCATCCTCAGTTCCATTCTACTTTCGACCGCCTCCGTGATGTAGTGGTTAGAGCGTCTGTCCAGAGAGCGGAAGGTCGCGGGTTCGATGTCCGACCGCGTCATACCAAAAGTCGTTAAAATATGGTACTTGTTGGTCCCTGCCTGGCGCTAGGCATTCATGGGTACAGCAAGGACTGGTCGACTCGGAGTCAGTATAATGTGTCTGGGTGGGGTATTCATGCTTCACTGCGGCATGGTATCTCAATGGGCTAGCACTATAAAACCAGCTTAAGTCTAACCAGTACAAGCAGCCGCACATACACATACACACGCATGCACGTCGTCATATGAGCGAACAAGCATGTCCTGCTTGACTGTATTGAATTTTCTATCACAAGGGATAAGTATTTCAATGTTAAGACTGTAAAGGATCTTTTAGTAAAGTAAATTATCAATTAGTTATTGAATTTTTAAAAGAAATAGAATTACTCCATAAATTTTGATAAATGGTGTGTATATAGATAAATATTTTATATTTGGTAGTTTAGATTAGTAACTGAGATTGTTAGTGGCTGTACCCTCAAAGGGGGTTGAAGTATTGTAAAATATTGTCCTCCTGAGAGGATACGTAAGTCCCAAAGCATTCAAGATTAGTTTAAACATACTATTATTCTTAATCGTAATATATATGTTCTTTTAATTATTACTAAATTTTCCTACAATCTCCAGGAGCTGAAGGGATGGTGTAAATCCAACTAGGGTCCATGCAGGTAGAAAAGGTAATGTAAGTCCCCATGGTCCCTAATATGGTGATCTACCTTCAGATAATCTAGTTGTTTTACTGTCCTTCGTTGACAGGTGTTTAAAATTTAATTTTTAATCATTATAAATCTGTACCTTGTCTTAGTCACGATATGGCTGAAATATTGCCGATGTGACTTAAAATCTTAACTCACTCACTCAATCATATGAGCGAAATATTCTCAGGCACGACGTTAAACCCAATTCCACCCCCACCACAACCATCCTATTTTTATTTTTAATCAGTGAAAAATATGATGATAGCGCATCTTTTGGAAATATGGTATTCAACTGTTTCCAGATTACTCTTCGCAGATGATGTGATTTTACCATGAGATACAGTCGAAGGATAACTAACACAACTTGGTCATTACTGCTTGACGAATGCCATTACTAAATTCTATTTATTGAACAAAACGCACTTTAAATCCGCGATAACTGTTCTGATTTTCTACTGTATCGTGTGTCAATATCTAAAAGTTGGCTTAACTAGCTCAGTGGTTAATACGTTTACAGCGGACGGTACTTATGACGTCTTACTGTCGTCCACATTTCCTTGCTTATGATAAAATCCTCTCCTCTCTCGTCATTCGTTTGCAGAATGTCAGAAACAATCTGTGGGTGTTGTGAAATGTCAGGACATTACTTTTATTGATTACAGCTTGGAAATAATTTGTGCTGGCATAATTCATGTCGAAAGTAGATTAATCTTTTAAGTACTATTTCGAAAAGCGCATCACTTCCTGGTTTTAATGCCGCCATGCACAGGTCGGCGTTGTTGTTTTTAGAAGATTTGTGGGACTGCTGTTGGATGCCTTTTTGTTTTTGCTTAACATTCTAGATAATTACACTAACGAATGGAAACTCCCAGTATATCTTGATGAAACCAATGTAGTTATTGTTCGGAGTGGTGGTCAAATTTCTCAAAAAGAGAAATGATTTTTTGGTTATCAACTTGTGAACTTTATCAATATAAAACAGGAAAAGTGTTTATGATCTCTCCCTATGCCCTAAGAAAGCTCTTGTCCAGTTAATATCGCGATAATTTACAAGACTGGAATGTTAACACCAGGTCTATTCTTTAAACATTTGGATGACCAAATACTGTTACGGTTAATAAATTGCCGTGACAAAAGAATCCCCTTTGAACCAGCAAAATATAAAACAGACAAGTCTAAAATATTCAATAATATATTGAGCAAACAATGAGCAAGCTACAATGAATCACATTACAGATTTCTAATACAATGCAATTGAGTCACAAATCGAAAGTTATGGGTCACATATATTAACTCACCAGAGTCTTGGTAACCACAGTGAGATCAGTTATTATAAACGGAGCTTGTTTACAAATGAAAGCAGTCAGGCACGAAGTGTCAGGGTCAGACGATGGCGATGTGACGAAGGACGAAGGCAAACAACGATGCGCAAGTCCAGTGATATCGAAAGTCCCGTGTAATTCAGTGTGTTAGTACGTGTGTCAGTCCTTGCGTGTCACACCACACAACAGCCAGCCTTTATATATACTGACACAGATTCTCGAACATTCCAGCAAAGCATGGCTGTATCCTTAACCACTTAGATCTTTCTCGAAACGTGTTTAACATACGCCATGACGATGTCAACACATAAATATCCGGTCAAGGGAGGTAACCCTGGAGCGCTATCATAAAGGCGTGCCTGTTACGACGTAAATTGTAATAAAAACGCAAATTGTAATACTTGCAGCAAATTGTAATAAACTTGACGTAAATTGTAATAAAACGTAAATTGTAATAAAATTGACGTAAATTGTAATACGCAAAATTGTAATAAAAATTGACGTAAATTGTAATAATTTTCGTTGCGGTAAAATGTAATAAATATTTACGTAAATTGTAATAACAGTTTTAATCACTCGTAAATACGCGGGTGTTTGTTTTTCGTTGCATTTCATACATCAAATAAACTTGTTAGGGCGATAACTCAAGAAAGAAATGATGGATTTTGTTCAAATTTGGTACCAAGGTATATTGGCGAGATTCACCGACACAAGTGAAATGGACTGACCTTGAGATGAGTTTCAAGGTTTCTGCAAAAATCTGAGGGTTTTGCCAATATAATGATTGTTAGCGCGATAACCCAAGAATGAATTGACAAAATGACGAAAATAATATTCGTCCTGATATATAATCGATATAAACTGTCCTCTGTATCATGTCTTTTCGCAAATATCTTTTGAGGTTTTGATATGTATAAATATAAAGTAGGGTGGGGTGGGGATGGGTTTCTAACGGGTATATCAAATCAAATCAAATCAAATTAGACATTTGTATAGCGCTACATATCCAGAGTCCTGCTCATGTGCGCTTAGTCGAATGCTCGTTTGGATGGTTTTGAGACACGATCGGAAACTGTTGATATTTTCCGATTTTCTGACATTTTCAGGTAATAAATTCCAGAGTACAGCACCCGGTCTGCTAAATGATCTGTCTCCGTATGTTGTGGTTCGGACAAATGGAATAGCCTAGCTGACTAGCAATGAAATGCATCACAAATTAAACTTACAGGAAACAAAATATGCAAGAAACATTTTGTATGTTTGAGATTGGTAGAGGTCGGCTAGAATCAAACTTAGATATTAAACTGCACAAAAAGGCAAAATGACACACACACACACACACACACACACACACACACACACCCCAATATTATGCTGAACATATTTTATATGATACTATCTGAGGGTATACCATTATCCAAGAGATAGCGCAATAGTGCAGTTGTTGAGGCGTCTGCCTATCACGCTGAAGGGCCTGTTTCGAGGAGGCACCTAGGTTCGGGTCCCGAGATGGGGCACATTTGCGTAGTATCCTTGGACAAGATACTTAGATCTACACTAACTCAGTTCACCCAGCTGTAAAATGGGTACCCGTGAGTATGTGCTGGCAATGTGAGTGTTTAGTTCATTGCGCCTAACAGGCAGCATGGCTGTACAGTCCCCAGGAGTTGAAAAAGTATCGGAAACTACGATAGTGTCCTATGATCAGGGATAGTAATGTACGTAGCGCTGTGAGCAGGCAATGTGCCTGGATGTGAGCGCCATATAAGCGGACTATTACTATTACTAGATACAAAAAGGGAAATCGTTTTCCATTTTCTGCAAATTTGCAAGAAACATAATACCCCAATGTTGTGATGACTAATATCTCGTTAACCACATTACCCACATGAAATTTTGATATGACTTTGCTAATGATTCCTTCAAAATAAAATGGAAGCTGTTTTTCAAATATTGGACATCGAGAACATAATTAGTTTGACTACTTTTCAACGCCCCTCGTAACATACTTAAAAAGAAATGAGAACGTCTAAGGAAAAAAAAAAAAAACATTTCGATCTCTGAATACTTCTGAGCTATTTAAATACAAAAAGCAAAGGAATAAGTAAATAATCTGAAAAGAATAGCCAAGGGAAACTTTTAATCTATTTTTGATAACTATTTATCACTTCAGTCTACTCAATCAGGTTGTTACTACTTCATCGGGACCCATTCCCTTCTTGTCACTGATGATTCTGGGATACCTTCAGGTTTTACAGATTTGGATAAAGCTCAAACATTAAATGAATATTTTGTATATATAATGTATAACAAATGTCATTGTAACCGAAAAGGAGGTATCTGATAAGACCTTACCAGCAAACAAATCTAGTGGACCTGATGGCATTAACATGAGAGTGTTAAAACGAATTTGTACATCTATAGCTGAACCTCTTTGTTTGTTGTATAATATATCACTGAGTGGCTGTATTTCCTACATTGTAGAAAACGGGTAA